GTGCTTTGTTTTGGATATTGACTTCATTTGAGACAATTGTTTGGAATTTTTGTACGTGGAATTCAAAAAACTTTAGGTGATATCATTTATAAACTGTATATACAAGGAATGTAGTGAAGATACTTGTATCAATGATGCTGATTTTTGAACGAAAAACTTCAACTTGTTCACTCTCAAAATATATTTCTAAAAAGAAGGCAAGTTCTGGTCTCGAGTAGCCGAAGCTCAAATGTAACGAAAATTGTAAATAATTTTATTTTTGAAATTGGGTGTAACTTTTAGTTTTCCTGCCGGACTAATTTGATGTCGAAATTTCATTCATATCATACGAAACCATTTAAAAAGGACCCAAAAATTGTCTAAAAATAGTTTACAAATAATTTGAACAAAATCAAGTTCTAATATACCTCCGGAAAAGCATCGGCACCTCAGGAGCCGGTTTCATTGGAGTTGATCGATTCCCTTGATAATTCATCATCATAGGGCTTTCTAGGTAGCTACTGCCCATTGCCCGCCACATGAGCATCTCGAACCAAGGCATTCCATTGCAGTTGGTTGACAGCTATTTCTTTTGTCCTGTCGAACCAGGACTCTTCCCATTTATTCTGAGAGATTTTTAGGGGTTTTGCGAAGGGCTGGACATCTTTCTGCACGAGTTGTCTCCAAGTAAACTTACTGCCACCTCGTGGATAATTCCAGTTTTCAGCTTTCTCAAACTCTAGGGCTGCGTTTGGAATTTCATCTTGGTGCATTCTCAGTACATGACCAAGACATTTCAGGCGTCTTCTTTTGGCTGATGGAATTGCCGAGGAGGGCTCTTTCGCGTATGTTTGGTCTAGACAGTTTGTATGCATTTGGTACAAACTTTTTTGCGCATCGAGTTTCAAAGGTGTCAAGAAAGCATAGGTCAGACTTTTTTTATAGGCCATGACTCACTACCGTAGAGAAGCACACTTTGAACACAAGTGGCATAGATTTTTCGTTTTATTGATGCCGGGATAGTTTTTAATCCCGCTTGATAATTGTAGGCAGCGCAAGAAATCTCACAGTCCGAAGGGTGTTTTAATGCTTTTTGACTACATTTATCAGTTATACTTTAGACAGTGATGTAAAATTGAGTCTGCGAAAAGTCGGAATGTGTTGTGTTTTTACTTATAGATGCGCTAAAAGATTTGATTTAACTCATCGAAATTTACATTGAAAATGCTTAAAATATTTGCTTTCATATTTGAAGTGAATATAAGTCAACAGCAAAAAGAATCCACTATAAATTAAAAGGCTTGTATCATCCATACTAAAATTCAAAGCATGTCTGATGTTTCTCGCCCTGTTTCAAAATGTTTTTCTGGTTAATCGTATAAGGTGAGAGATTTCATGGTTCAGCTAACGAGTGTTTTCAAATGAGCAGTTATTAATGTATATTCCAGCTCATCCGTTTGATAAAGCCAAGCACCCTTAACTGCATCAAACGGATGAGATAAGCCAAACATTTGTATATTAAAAATAGCAAAACATTTTGACTAATTTCCATACACTCATTAGCCGAAGCATGCATTCTTACTTTATAAACTTGACCACAGCATAAATTTCTTAAACATGGCATTCTGAAACACGCTGTAATTTATAGTATGGATGATCTATGCTTTTTAAAATTAAAACTCCGCTTGTTTTCAGTTTCTTTTCGCTTTGACTTATACTCATTCATTTTTGAATAAGCAGATATTTCGAAGCGTTGTAGAGTAAATTTCTAATAAAATATATAGCTTCTTTGGATCTATGAGTAAAAAGCAATAAGTTCATCAAAGTCTCTTTACATTTGCGAGAGAAAGTGTCTGGTAATCGGGAACTGTACTTTTTTCCCGTAAACAACTTTTCTTACAAATCTGTAAGAAAATGTGAAATTGCTTTATTAGTGAAGCTCATCTAACTCGAGACTGTTTCCAACTTGGTAACGAGGTTGCCGGTGTACCCTAAGGTCTGGGGTTCGAGTCGCGGCCAGAAATTTTTTTTCTGGTGAATGAAATTGACAGTCGGACTTTCGTTTGTCTGCTTAAGTTTTGTCGGCTGAGTTGCCTCGAGGAATTTTTTATGCTGTCACTTATTTTCATCGTAGGAGCAAATGTTTTTGATTTACTCCTGTTATTTGTAAAAATAATGGACCTGGGGTCAGGGGTTCCGAAAAATTAATTGGAGCAAGACCAATCAATTAATTGGTGTACCAATCAATTAATGGTAATTGGGCACCTAGAAATCAATTTATACAATTAATTGCATTTAATTGGCAATTATCTTGGAAGAAAGAAAAAAATGGTAAAACAAGAATTCATTCCTTTTTACGAACACAAACTATATATATATATATGATAATTGTAGGCAGCGCAAGAAATCTCACAGTCCGAAGGGTGTTTTAATGCTTTTTGACTACATCTATCAGTTATACTTTAGACAGTGATGTAAAATTGAGTCTGCGAAAAGTCGGAATGTGTTGTGTTTTTACTTGTAGATGCGCTAAAAGATTTGATTTAACTCATCGAAATTTACATTGAAAATGCTTAAAATATTTGCTTTGTTTCATATTTGAAGTGAATATAAGTCAACAGCAAAAAGAATCCACTATAAATTAAAATGCATGTATCATCCATACTAAAATTCAAAGCATGTCTGATGTTTCTCGCCCTGTTTCAAAATGTTTTTCTGGTTAATGTATAAGGTGAGAGATTTCATGGTTCAGCTAACGAGTGTTTTCAAATGAGCAGTTATTAATGTATATTCCAGCTCATCCGTTTGATAAAGCCAAGCACCCTTAACTGCATCAAACGGATGAGATAAGCCAAACATTTGTATATTAAAAATAGCAAAACATTTTGACTAATTTCCATACACTCATTAGCCGAAGCATGCATTCTTACTTTATAAACTTGACCACAGCATAAATTTCTTAAACATGGCATTCTGAAACACGCTGTAATTTATAGTATGGATGATCTATGCTTTTTAAAATTAAAACTCCGCTTGTTTTCAGTTTCTTTTCGCTTTGACTTATACTCATTCATTTTTGAATAAGCAGATATTTCGAAGCGTTGTAGAGTAAATTTCTAATAAAATATATAGCTTCTTTGGATCTATGAGTAAAAAGCAATAAGTTCATCAAAGTCTCTTTACATTTGCGAGAGAAAGTGTCTGGTAATCGGGAACTGTACTTTTTTCCCGTAAACAACTTTTCTTACAAATCTGTAAGAAAATGTGAAATTGCTTTATTAGTGAAGCTCATCTAACTCGAGACTGTTTCCAACTTGGTAACGAGGTTGCCGGTGTACCCTAAGGTCTGGGGTTCGAGTCGCGGCCAGAAATTTTTTTTTTGGTGAATGAAATTGACAGTCGGACTTTCGTTTGTCTGCTTAAGTTTTGTCGGCTGAGTTGCCTCGAGGAATTTTTTATGCTGTCACTTATTTTCATCGTAGGAGCAAATGTTTTTGATTTACTCCTGTTATTTGTAAAAATAATGGACCTGGGGTCAGGGGTTCCGAAAAATTAATTGGAGCAAGACCAATCAATTAATTGGTGTACCAATCAATTAATGGTAATTGGGCACCTAGAAATCAATTTATACAATTAATTGCATTTAATTGGCAATTATCTTGGAAGAAAGAAAAAAATGGTAAAACAAGAATTCATTCCTTTTTACGAACACAAACTATATATATATATATATATTTTTTTTTTTTTAGTTAAATTACTGTAAATCGCTAAAAAATGTCTGTCAAACAGAACAAAAACATCCGGTGATTCTGGCAACTAACTCGACGTCCAAAAATGCAGAGAATTGCGTCATATTTGTTGCTGCTATTCTGCATCGATTATTTGTTGAAAAGTGGGATTAATTCCGCTCCATTTCATTGACTCGAATGATTGCCAATTAATTGATCATTCACCAATCAATTAAATAATTGGTGAACGCCTGTCAATCAATTAATTGGACCATTGGTAATTTTTCTTGATTTTCATTTTTCGCTTTTTTTAATAAAATTTATGCGGCCTAAATTGTTTCGGCTTTTGTGTTATTGGCTTAGTTACCTCAAAGGCAGAAATTGTTTTGTTTTTTGAATAAGGTAAGTTGTGTTGCAAGTTGTAAAACTTAATAGCTCAAAATTTTTTGCCATCTTTTATGGCACTTTTTTTGTTTTCGGCTCAATGGGCGTGTACTTACTGGTTGTCGGATTAGGCACTGTTTGGTAAATACTAAAATTTTTATTAAATACTAGTAATTACGTTTTTCAACGGTTTTTCAGATTTATTTTCAGTTTTCCTCAAATTTTGTTTCCGATGTCATTTCTGTCTCTTTTTCTTTTCACTAGCTTGCAATTCGCTAGCTTAATACTACATTCGTCCTAGCCAGAGCTGATAGTTGCAGTCTAATCTCTTAATCCTTGGATTATGACTAAAAAGATCTATCAATTCCAATGGACCTGGCTCTAGAGATGTCATTGCTTTTCCTGAGGTTTATTGCAGCTTATTATGGTTCTAACTGTTTGTAAACTCTTTCAACTGTTGACATTTTTAGGATCATTTTTGAAGCGATTGCCAACTTCAATACAAAACATGAAATTTCGTTATGAAATTTTTCCGCTCGGAAAACGAAAAAGAAAACCAATTTTGAAACTTAAGTTCTTGCGTTTTTTCGCGCCCTTTTTTACGCTGTTTTGCTTCTCAAGAGCAAAATTTGCCTTCCAATTGGCGATTGAATTTGATTTGATCTCGAAATAAAATCAACATTCAAACCGCAAACCATCATTTTAATTCGAATTGAGTTTCTTGCTATGAGATAATATACATGTGAAGTTTGTTTCAGACTATCCTTAGCTTTTTCGTAATCTTAAAACAATTCAGTCGAAGAGTTATAACTAAGAGCGTCGGCGTTTGTGTGCGAATTAGATCCAGTTTTATGCGTGTTGAAGTCAGTTGCAGAAAAGTAGAAAAATAAGTGATCAACGTGTTTTCAGGTCGTCTTCTCGTCCAAATGCGGTGAAATTGATTCAAGGTATTGAAGCAGAAAATGGGAAAGATTCGAGTTGTGTGAATGAAGTGACACTATGCGCAACACAGAAAGAACCTCATCGTATTTTTTCAGTGGTTCAAGCTGATGTTAAGCATGGAGGCCCACCGTTGGTATCAGACGTTGAGGTGAATTTGATCAAAAGGATTAGCATTGTGACGACAACCAAGATACTCTACATCGGATTTCCTTTCACAGTGTTTTCTGTTCACGCTTTTGACGAGAATGGAAATCTTTTCACGACAATTGAAGGGATTCCATTCGTGTGGAAAGTTCTACCTGATGAATCAAGTCTGTACCCGGAACACACAGGATCGAATGTAATGAGGATTCTAAAATGGTCTGAGGTGTCCAACGAGCCTCCAGCTGCAATTGCGGAATTAGAGAAATCTGGAAAGCGAGGGAGCTCTGTTGTCATATCCGGACTAAAAATTGGCGTCGCTTTCATTGAAACCAAAATCTCCAGTCCGGTATACTCAGAGGTCGCATCTGATAGAGTGCGTGTGATTGTGAAGGATTTTTTGATGCTGAAACCATCGGGGTTTGTTGCGATAATAGTTGACCAATTGCTCGACATTGAGTGTTTCAACATGAATTTCAATAGGAGATCTAAACTGAACCTACCAACCGATACCTACTGGCTTGCATTGAACTCAGACGAACATCTGCACCTGTATGACGGTAGCTCCAGTATGAAAGGCTTGACGCTCGGCGAGACTGCAGTATGTATTGCAAGCACTATTCCAAACGACGATTCTGGTCCGTGTGTTGACGTACTAGTCACTGAGCCGTATTATGCAATCTTTTCAAGTGAACCCGAACATGACTGGCTTCTAGAAGTTGGTCTGCAGTACGAAATTGAGGTGCACTTTTATGATCGAAGTGACAATTTGATTCATGCTGAGTCACTTATTGCGGAAACGACTCATGAGGATGACTTCGTGAAACTTGAATATATTTCGAAGAATGGAAGCTATTTAAGAGTGACACCTCGGAAAGTGGGACAGTCCAAGTTCGTTTCGCAGCTGAAGTCAGTTATGGGGTACAAAGATGAAGTTGTTCAATTGTCTGAGAAGTATCAAGTTCAGAAGACGCAGAGCTTCAAAATTATCGAGCCAGTGTCTGTGGTACCGAAGAGGCTCGGATTCGTGTGGCTGCCCAATCACGAAAACAGGTGGGGAATACATTATGTAATTGGCGTTTCACTTGACATTTTAATGAAGTCTGTGATGACTTTTTGAAATTGAAATAAAACAATGTTGAAAATTTTGTTCTAAGTACGCCTTTTTATTCATGTTACGGACAATTGATGTAAAATTTCCATGAACGCCTATCATAATTTGTTCTAGAAATTCAAAGAGCTTAAAGGGCATCTATTTTTTCTTTGAAATTCGAAAGTTGATAGTTTGAGAAAATTTATCATGTTTACTTCCGTTCATTACTTTTCCAATCTTCGATTGGCTATGTTCCTAGTTTCTGAGAAGTGATTGTTTTCGTACAAAAAATATTGAATGTTTTGAAATATTTGAAAAAAGTTCGTTTATATTTGTCTATCAGTTTTGTGTTTTTCAGCAAGATCTCTCGATTAGTCTTAGATCTCGTGCTTAGTGTCAGACTAGATTAAGCAACTGACGTTCTGTTATTATTTGATCGCGAGCAAAGCCGCGGTTTGACTCTTAACTCGTGCAAAGCGGGAGACACATTTTTGATTTTGCCTTCCTTGCTAAATGGAAGGCAAAATCAACTATCGAACAGCAAAGTTGTTAATATCACAAAAAACGTGGGTACAGTTTGTAAAGAATTTGTAAAGGTCACAAGTTGATTTAATTTTACCAAAAAAGTGTCGATCATAAATTGATATAGAAGTTCAAAGAGCGTTAACGCCATCTTTTTTTTTCTTTGAAATTCGAAAGTTGAAGTTTTTTCTGTTGGGTATGTTAGTTTGGGAGAAATAACATGTGCTAATTCAGTGGCATTTTTGATGCTTAGAGTTTGCAATTTGAAAGCCTCTGTTCATCGGTTTTATTGTCGGCTAGCGATCATAGCGCAGATGAGATCATGTGAGACTCGCAATATCCAGGTCGGCGCTTCGTTTTCGGCATATGGCAAACGTCAATTTTTGAAGGCAAATATCAATTTTTCAAAGCTTATTCTGCCGATTCTTTCATTATTTCACTTTTTGCTTTTTGAGAGTTTCTTTTTCCCGTTTTTTTTCTGCGTTTGCGAAGTACTGTGTTACATATGCTTTTCAATTTTATCTAAATGGTCAAATGATTCTATGAAATTTAAATTTGCCAACTAGTTGTCTTTTAAATAGTAGGAATTATTTTGTTGCTACATGATATTGCTTCTGTTCTCAGAGACACCAAAAACTGACTCCTATCTTAACAAGAATTGTTTATTTTTCAGCCACTCACACCATTTAGTTGCAACCGGAGGTTCTGGAGTGTACAAATGGGAATCCGAGAACATCCGTGTCGTGACAGTATCTAAAGATGGAGTCATCGAAACAGCAGGTACACCCGGATTGTCCCTGATCACAGTCACTGATAGGCAAATGTCACATCACTACGACACTTCGAAGATACTTGTAGGACCACCTGTAAAAATTGTACTCTCGCCTTACTATGTTGAAGGCCAAGTGAACTCGGACTTGTTGGTCCCAATTCGAGTGTTTGTGGCGAAAGACATCCTTAAACCAGATGAGTTGTTTGAAGTCGCAGATTGTGCAGGCTTACCATTCAGAGTTGAGTTCTCAAATCCAGGTGTTTTCGAGTTTTTGGCTTCAGTTGAATTGCAGGACCAACCATACAATGAGGGATGCGCTTTGCTTTGGTTCAATACAACCGGACCTGGTTTTACGAGAGTAACTGTTAAACTTCAAAATGTTGAAAACCAAACCACACTGGGAGGGTTCCACGCATTGCAAATTAGAGACCATTCAGAGACAATTGTTTTGTCATTGGGTTCTTCGGTCAAATTGGTCACTCGAGGTGGTTTGCTTCCCTGGGAACTCGATCCATCAAAATTCTACCGTACTGTTGAAATTTCCGAGACCAAATTCATCAAACAATTACCGCAAGGAAGTTCCATGACCGGAAATAACGTATTTTCAATAGTTTGTAACGCACTGGGAGAAAGTCAGTTCATAGTAACTAGCGGGAATAAAGTGACAGCGAACAATAGGCATCCACGACAGAGCTCGGTTTCAATTGCTTTCAAATGTAGTCCGCCTACTTCACTGAGAATCGTTCCGATTCCAGAAGTTCCAGACTGTCCGCCGTATCGCAATCTGCACACGGAAAATCTTCCGGTGCTTGTTGGCGACGATCAAAAGCTTTTGGTTGTGGCAAAAGAGTCTTCTGGTTTGACCTTCACAAACTTTTCATCGCTGCATTTTACCATTTCGGGCTGCTCTGATAAGGGGAAGATCCATCTTGACAAGTTTCCATTGATGGACGCTCTCTTTGAAGATTCACATGACTGCGTACTTGAAATTCAGCTATCCGGCTACAAGAAAAGTTTTTATTTTCGTGAAACGTACGAGGCAGTATCAACTTCTCTGAAAATATCTGCGAAAACAGCGCCTAAAGTCGAGGCTGCAGAGCTTTCTATATTCAATCATCCGTCAAACTCTAAAACTATAGCGGTAATAGGAGGATCAGGTTTCTTCACATTGTCTTCAAAATCTAACCCGAGTGTTATAACTGAGGTCAGCTTTGATTCCAAGAGCAGTCTTCTGACTGTAACACCAGTTACAGACGGACGAGAACTAATTACGGTACGAGACATGTGCTTTCCTTCTTTGAATCATCTTCAGTTTGAAGTAATTATTTCGAGTATTGGGACTATAAATGTAAAGAGCAAGCGTTTGATGCAGTTGAACTCAAGCGACCTTTTGGAAGTGCAAGTCATGGATAGTAACGGGTGGAATATTGAAGCTAAAATGTTCCCCGTGATAAACTTGACTTTGATTACGTCGAATGACGTCATTAATTTCAAACCAGAAGAAGTCAAAGACACCCAGAATCAATTTTCGAAGTTCTACAAAATGTTTGCTCGAAAGGTAGGAACAATGCAGCTGCACTTTACAGCGACTCTGAGTTCGGGGCAGATTTCAAGTCATCAACATGAAATTCAAGTGTTTAGTCCGTTAGCTGTTTCCCCAAGTATTGTGTACATGCTTCCTGGACAATTTTACCAGATCAAAACAACGGGCGGACCTCAACCTCTGCCCGCTCTGAAGTACAAGTTGGACGATAAAAATGTTGGCACGGTTTTAGCTTTAGGTCTGTTTGAAGCAACGCAAGTTGGTTCGTGTGTGGTAAATGTCGAAATCATAGACAACAATGATTTTTTCATTCTTTCAAAAGCTACAGTTCAATTTCATGTAGTCGAATTGACAAGCATTGAGTTACATGTTGCCCTCTCGCATTTTCCAACTGAGTCTATTGTTCCAATATACGTGACGGGTAACAATGGAAAATTAACTCCCCTGACCATGAACTTGGGATTGAACTTTGAATGGTCTGTGGCGAATAGCGATGTAATTGAAATGATTCCTCAGCATGAGTTTTCGGGCATCGTGAATGGACTTGAAGCCAATTTTGCAATCCGGATTCTCGGAAAGAATCCAGGAAATGCGGTGATCAAAGTGACTGTCACTCAAAAGGATAATCAATGGGTATCGAAAGCTTTAATTGCTGGGGGTCAGAAACAGTTGAGTGCAGAAGCGAATGTTGAGATATACCATAGGCTAGAGTTACATGAGCCCAGGCACAGGTATGAGAATAAATTGATAATGACGCCCAAGTCTTCAATGTACGTGAGAACGAATCAGAACTACGCAAACTTTGACATGGTGCATCACAGCGAACCAGAGTTAGTCTCAATCGATCACAGAGGTCTAATATCATCCGGAGAAAACGAAGGAACGTCTGTTTTGATGGTCAGAACAACTGCTCGAAATGGAGTAAATCAAACTTACTCATTGATAGTATCAGTGAAGCATATAGCTTTTGTGAGGATCCAAACAGATCCCATTTTCCCGGAAATAGAAGCTCATTGCAAGTTGACAGTCATACCGCAGGGAACTTCGACAAATCTTCTGGTGACGTTTCACGACGATAGAGGTCACGCCTTCAATGCCGTTAACGCGAAGATGAACTACGAGGTAAACAGAAATGATATAGGTCAAATCAACCCGGGAAGCGTGAATCATTCTTTGATGTTCAGAAACTCGGATCGAGGTATATCTGCACTGAAAGTTTGGACTGCAACGAACGATGTTTTTGGAACTGTAGTCTCAGACTACTTAGCGCTTAATGTCGACAATGTCATCGACGATTCTCAGTTTTCTCGTGGCTTGCAGGTCGGTGACGTTGTTTGCCTCTCGTCGCCTTTCAGTGGGCAATCCTCTGCGACGTGGTCTGGTGATTTAGATATTTTGAAAGTGACCTCTGAATCGGGAATGGCGATCGCAGTTGGATCCGGTCAGTCTGAATTAAAGCTGGCGATTGGGTCCCAGAAAACGTTTAAGAGAGTTCAAGTATCAAATTCAGAGCAACTTGAGTTGAAGCCGCGAGGAAAATTAGACGCAGTTTTCCCATCTGAGGATGGTTTCTACTTGAATTTGAACAAAATTGTTTATTGCGAGAATAAAGCACAGATGAATTCGTACAGCCCTGATTTGAGTTGGCTCAAATGTACAGCTTGGTTTGATTCCGATACTGCTCATCTTAATCCCCAACTAAGCGCCAAACCAATTTTTGAAAGTGATCACGGGATATCATGTGAGCTTCGAGTTAAACCAACAAAGCCAGAACAACGTCAGGCGTTGGCCTCATTAGCATCGTCAGTTAACCTTCAGGCAACGGTTCTACCTAGTGTAAACCGACTAGCAGTTTCAAGTCCCATAGTGAAATTGAAATATGCACCGTTATTTCACGTTAGCACAAACTCGATCATTTTGAGCAACCATTACCCATCGGCCGAAGTGTTTGTGAAATCAACAGTTGACGTTGTGAACAAACTAGAAATTATAGCCAAAACGCAGAGTCTCTTTACAGTTGAGAAGCTTTTCCAGGGCGAAAATCTAAAAATAACAGTTGAGCTTCTACCTCATGCTTTTAGCAGGTCAAGTGGAACTGAAAATCTTGCAATCGAAGTACGTTGCGGCTTGTCTGGAAAATCCGAAATCATCAATGTTTACATTCAGCTAGCCCCATTTTCGACCGATTCTATCATCGGTTCGAAAAAATCTGCTCTGCATTATTTGAACGAAAACTTCGTTTTCTACATACCAGTGACTCTTACAGTGGTGTGTTTAGTTTTTGGATACTATATTATGATGCTGTACAAGCAACAGAATCAGTTGATGGACATCTCTTTAAATGAAGGTCTCGCAAACTCTCCGAGACGAGTGAGGTTGAATGACAATTCTTTCTATCCGAACGCGGGTGGCGGAGCTGGAGACGCGCCTAGCTTCATGAACCGATCGGGGTCGCCAGGTGCGACACCTTTTCCTCGTCAGTTTTCTCGGCTGAGACAAATGAGTAGCCTGAATAGGTCTGCTTTGAACTCCTTGGATGATAGTGTAAACTTGGGTGCGTCTCCGTGGGCTAATTCTGCCCGTTCTTCTTCCCCAGGGCGTGTTCAGCTATGGTCTCAGACATCTCCTTCGCCCAATGCAGCTAAGGGGTCCTAAAAACTAGGATAAAGAGTGTGCCACATTAACCTTGCCGATAACTGAACTTTTCTAGCTGAAAACTTGATAATGGAAGATTTTGTTAAAAATTGCAGATATTAAATGGCCAGTTTTGTTAAGAAGTATGCAAACTTTGTTGATGTTTTGAAAATAGCAAGATTTTTTATTATTACCTCCATGTGTGAGATTTGTTAGCAATCATTTGAAGTAATGGTGCAAACCTTGCTGAATGCGTCATATTTCTGTTTAACTATTTTTGCTTTTGTTTTCATTTATGTGATTTTGTGTTTAATACGAAAGAATTGATTGTTAAATCATTTGTTGTTCACACCACAGTGTTCTTTATTCGTGCTCAGCCGTTTTTCGCTCCTGAAAAAACCAATAAGTTTTTATTCGTCCTTACGTTTTGTGGTCCGAAAATACGTAAGGCAGAGAAACTGCATTCAGAAACTTAAAATATTACATACGATCGAAGTACTTCTGTGAAATTCCATGGAGTTCAAAACGTACTTAAAATCGTACAATAGAACAAAAGAAAAAATACTGTTTTTATCATTCATCTGTTTTAACTATACAATGTTTCTTTTTTCGCAACGAAAACTTATCGAAGTTCTCAGCTCAATGTTGGGGTTCTGTCATGGTACAACCATAGTTTACAAATCTGGCCCCCAAATTATAGTACCCCGATACTTTCAGTGTCCAAGATAAGATTTTTTAAAATAATTTTTTAGAATTTCGAAATTCTTGCACCTCTATTGAGTTGATATAAAGGTACTCCCATGTGCTGTAAATTTGGCCTCTAATTATTACTGCTGAAATCCTCTTAAATTTCGAGATATCGCTTGAAACTTTTATAAAAGTTTTCAAGTTCGTTGATATTAAAAATAATAAAGTTCTCAACTCTATTGAGGGTAGCGGTCAGGAAAAACACAGGCGTTGCGAGACTGGCCTCCAAATATGGCCTCTCAAAGCCCTTTAACTTCCGATATGTTGTTTTTATTAAGAGTAAAGAATGTAGTGAGTACTCTTATACAGGTCTTGCTGATTTTTTTCCGGAAAAAGTCTGAAAATTTGTTCACGCTCAATTTTGGTTTTTTAAAGTGATTTTTGACGTGATTTGTTAAAAGGAAGGCCAACTCCATTTTCCAACAGCAAAATTGTAAAGGTCACAAAAGACGTGGTCGACTTTCTAATTTAGAAAATGGAAATTAAAAAGCAGATTTCCCAGCGAAATAAAAGTTTTACCTAATGATCCAGTTTTCTGAAATTGGGTTAATTTTAACAAAAAGGTGTCCATTGTAAAATGTTCTACAATTTCAAAGAGCTTTAAGGCCATCTATTTTTTTCTTCGAAATTCATAATTTGAAGATTTTAAAAAAAAACAAGTCGGTTTATTTTTCAGTTTCCTTGCGTTCATTACTCTTTTCCAACTCAGCGGCTGTTAATGTTTTAAAAAGTTTTAGAAATAACTTAGATAAAAAATTTCAAAATTGTAAGGTAATACTTTACGGTGTAGTGCTGTCTATGTAATCCCGTGGTATGCAAATCTGGCTTTTTTAAATAAAAGTTAAGCTTCCGCGATTTGAAGTTCGAATTATTTTCTCAACACCTCTCAGTAAACTGTAGATTTTTCAAACAAAATTGATTGGCATTTAATAAATTTTTGTTTTGAAATACATGTTGAATGGCAGTTACTAGGTACATGATTGATTAGCCGATGAAAATGATATATGTGCGGGCTAATGAGAAAGAATAATCATTTTAATTGATGAATTTAATTCAAAAAACTTTCCAGCTCAAAACTTTTTTGAAAAAGTATGGAAAGTTTTATGATGTCGTCCTTTTCAGCGTATTTTTTCTAGAGGTAAAAACACAAGACTGTGATTCACAGTATGACCATGTTCGTTAAAAAACCAAATAATAACTTAATCAATCAACCAATTTATAAAAAAAAAAACGAAAAATGAAAAACCAAAAAATATGCCCTCAGTCTAGTCTTACGGTTGCATTGAATATAGTATATAGTTGGTTTTTGTAGATTCTTAGGGCGCACGTTCAACAAGTTTTTTTCATAATATTATGAAAACATATATTATATATATATATATATATATATATATATATATATATATATATATATATATATATATATATTTTGGTTAAAACCAATAGTTTATACCCTTCGATAGACTGCTTGCCGGCGTTTTGGTGTTCTCTGACGATGGGATATTATAATTTTCGTAACTTGAAGAAAGTTGTCGCCTTCTTATAAACTAAATCCTAGGTAAACATTATTTACTTTTGCGAATTGTACTTAAGGTCGAAACTATTGGCTTAAACGAGCGGTTTTTCGTCAAAAAGAATGCGAAAAAATGGGATTGTCTAAGTGTTAAGAATTGTGAAAATCAATGCCTGTCTCGCGTTTTTTATAGAAAATTTTTTAAATTTCACTTTCGATACGAAGTCATGTATATAGAAATTCATAATAATTACTCTTGCGCCCTTGTGATAAGAAAGGGTATTGCATTCGGGTACTAGACTTTTTTCCCGTAAATAATTTGTTTAAAGAATGATCAGAATTAGAAATGATAATTTTGAGCTCAGTTCATAATTTTCATCAAATTTTTACCTTTCCGGGCAGTCTTGGTCTGGAGGTTACAAATACGTCTGAGTCGGCAAAGGTACTGGGTTCGAATCTGAAATAACCTGTTTGTTTTTAACAGGCAACAATCCGTTTCAAAAAAATGTCGGCTGATTATTTGTCTGTGTTGGCCGTTTAGTTGCCACTTGGTAGAATTTTTTCGCTGTTTGCAATAAACACTAGTTGCGTTAAGAAATCTGATTTATTTCTGCTAATAGTAATTTTACTAGCCTTGAACTCGTATTTTTGTTTTTTTTTGCTTTAAAAATTATTCTGCTCCGAATGATTTCAGCTTATATTTTATCGGCCTAGTGAACTAATTGTGAATTTTCCTAAGGGGAATCTAATATTTTTCTCACCTCTGGATTGCACCAAATGCTAAAAATTTTAAAAGAAACAATGGTTCAAAGTTTTCATGACAAAAATCGAAACTCATAGTGCGTCTTTTGAAAAGCGAAAAAATTGCGTGTGTGTGTGTAATTTGAGGGTGAGGGGGTTTTAATAACTTTTTACAAGTCTTAATTTATTGAGTTATTTTTTCGGTTTTTGTGTTTTTTTTTCCTTTCCTTTTTTTCCGCTGAATAGGTTTCGGCTTACACTAAATCTGCTTAATGGCCTTAAATTGCGTCTTTTGACGAGAAAAAAGTCTGCGTGTGCGTGTCTGTGATTAGAGGGCGAGGGGACTTAATAACCTTTATTATTCCTGAATTTTTGTCGGCTTCATAGATTTCGCCCTATTATATCGGCATTTTGGCTTCATATTGTTTCCTATGGTAATTTATTTTTTTGCGTGTGTTTATCAGGAGGAGGGGGGGGCGTATAAGTTTTGAGGAGCTAGATTACTTTTTATAAGTTTTAAGGCTTGTTGATTTTTTTCGGCTTAAATGGTTTCTGCTGAAGTTTGTTCGGCTTTGTAACCGCTTGGTAAGTTTTCTCTCGATGCGTATTTCACATTATATTGTCTGGCATCTTCTGGTTCCTAAACTAGCCTGATTCATTTTGATCTATTTATTTTTGCCGACACTTTCATTTTTTTCTGACTTAGCGGCTTTCTTCATTTGTATCGCAAGTGGTGCGAAGCTCAGCTTCGCTTCTGTGTATGAATGTATTATCTTATAATTAAATCAGTTCTGAAATCGCAAATAGTGCGACTTGACGCTTTGCGTACGGACAATTTTTTTTCTGTGAGTCAGAACCCAAAAACATAAACTTTTTTAGCTGCAATTGGAGAAAAATTAAGCGCAGTAGCCATCCCTAGGCGCTGAAAATGGCCACTTAACCTGAAAAAAACTGATAAGAACAAACTGAGGTTCGCAAACACACCTCTGAGCTATATCTGGTACACAGTTTTGAATTTATGCAATTTGTGGGGGGGGGGTGGTATTTAACAGATAATGCGTATTTAGTGCAATGAACTTTGAATAGAGTTCATGCACATTTAGTCCAATGAACTTCTGAATGGAGTTAGCTTGAAGCACCGCTCCATGGGTTTTGATATTTTAAGATTTTGGGAAATAAATAAAATGGGAAAAATGTCAAATTGTAATTTAAAATGGGAAAACGTCAAACTTAGTCGACTGGCTCTAAGGGAAATCTAATATTTTTGCTCACCTCTGGATTGCACCAAATGCTAAAAATCTTAAAAGAAACAATGGTTCAAAGTTTTCATGACAAAAATCGAAACTCATAGTGCGTCTTTTGAAAAGCGAAAAAATTGCGTGTGTGTGTAATTTGAGGGTGAGGTGGTTTTAATAACTTTTTACAAGTCTTAATTAATTGAGTTCTTTTTTCGTTTTTTGTGTTTTTTTTCCTTTCCTTTTTTTCCGCTGAATAGGTTTCGGCTTACACTAAATCTGCTTAATGGCCTTAAATTGCGTCTTTCGACGAGAAAAAAAGTCTGCGTGTGCGTGTCTGTGATTAGAGGGCGAGCGGACTTAATAACCTTTATTATTCCTGAATTTTTGTCGGCTTCATAGATTTCGCCCTATTATATCGGCATTTTGGCTTCATATTGTTTCCTATGGTAATTTATTTTTTTTTGCGTGTGTTTATCAGGAGAAGGGGGGGCGTATAAGTTTTGAGGAGCTAGATTACTTTTTATAAGTTTTAAGGCTTGTTGATTTTTTTCGACTTAAATGGTTTCCGCTGAAGTTTGTTCGGCTTTGTAACCGCTTGGTAAGTTTTCTCTCGATGCGTATTTCACATTATATTGTCTGGCATCTTCTGGTTCCTAAACTAGCCTGATTCTTTTTGATCTATTTATTTTTGCCGACACTCTCATTTTTTTCTGACTTAGCGGCTTTCTTCATTTGTATCGCAAGTGGTGCGAAGCTCAGCTTCGCTTCTGTGTATGAATGTATTATCTTATAATTAAATCAGTTCTGAAATCGCAAATAGTGCGACTTGACGCTTTGCGTACGGACAATTTTTTTTCTGTGAGTCAGAACCCAAAAACATAAACTTTTTTAGCTGCAATTGGAGAAAAATTAAGCGCAGTAGCCATCCCTAGGCGCTGAAAATGGCCACTTAACCTGAAAAAAACTGATAAGAACAAACTGAGGTTCGCAAACACACCTCTGAGCTATATCTGGTACACAGTTTTGAATTTATGCAATTTGTGGGGGGGGTGGTATTTAACAGATAATGCGTATTTAGTGCAATGAACTTTGAATAGAGTTCATGCACAT